TTTTGTAAGATGTGAATGATGAATTCTGTTTACTTGTATGACCTTAGGCAAGTGACTGCACTTCTGAATCACCACTTCCTCCTCTGGAGGAATATTTCTCTTCCTGAGTTGTTGTGAGGATTAAATAAGATAACGTAGCATGTACAAATGTCTCACAGTAGGTAGTAGTAAATGTTAATATTATTTCCTCATACATAATTTAGGCAAAGCCCAGGTAAAAGTATAATTCGGTTGTTGTTTTTTTCAAAGTATGTATACATTTTTTTTTATTTTTTTTAAATTAAATCTTTATTGTTCTGATTATTACAGTTGTTCCTCTTTTTTCCCCCCATAGTTCTCCTCCACCCAGTTCCCACCCCACCCTCTGCCCTTACCCCTCCACCTGTCCTCATCCATAGGTGTACGATTTTTGTCCAGTCTCTTCCTGCCCCCCCACACCCCTTTCCCCCCAAGAATTGTCAGTCCACTCCCTTTCTATGTCCCTGGTTCTATTACATTCACCAGTTTACTCTGTTCATCCGATTTTTTATTCACTTGATTTTTAGATTCACTTGTTGATAGATATGTATTTGCTGTTCATAATTTTTATCTTTACCTTCTTCTTCTTCCTCTTAAAGAATACCTTTCAGCATTTCATATAATGCTGGTTTGGTGGTGATGAACTCCTTTAGCTTTTTCTTATCTGTGAAGCTCTTTATCTGACCTTCAATTCTGAATGATAGCTTTGCTGGGTAAAGTAATCTTGGTTGTAGGTTCTTGCTATTCATCACTTTGAATATTTCTTGCCACTCCCTTCTGGCCTGCATAGTTTCTTTTGAGAAATCAGCTGACAGTCATATGGGTACTCCCTTGTAGGTAACTGACTTTTTTTCTCTTGCTGCTTTTAAGATTCTTTCTTTGTCTTTTGCCCTTGGCATTTTAATTATGATGTGTCTTGGTGTGGTCCTCTTTGGATTCCTTTTGTTTGGGGTTCTCTGTGCATCCTGGATTTGTAAGTCTATTTCTTTCCCCAGGTAGGGGAAGTTTTCTGTCATTATTTCTTCAAATAGGTTTTCAATATCCTCTTCTCTCTCTTCTTCTGGCACCCCTATAATTCAGATGTTGGTGCGCTTGAAGTTATCCCAGAGGCTCCTTACACTATCTTCATATTTTTGGATTATTTTTTCTTTTTTCTTTTCTGGTTGGGTATTTTTTGCTTCTTCGTTTTTCAAATCTTTGACTTGATTCTTGGGGTCCTCTTGTCTGCTGTTGGATCTCTGTATATTATTCTTTATTTCAGTCAGTGTATACTTAATTTCTAGTTGGTCTTTTTTCATATCCTCCAGGGTCTCACTACATTTATTGGCAGTTTCTAGAAAATTCTTGAAAAACCTTATAACCGTGGTTTTGAACTCTATATCCAGTCGTTTGCTTTCCTCCATTTCTGTCATTTGTGACCTGTTTCTTTGTCTCCACATTTTTTATGCTTCCCTGTGTTGGTAGAGTGGCTTTGTGTGCTAGATGTCCTATATGGCCCAGTGGCTCAGCCTCCCCAATTACCTGAGGTGGACAGTCTCGGTGCACCCCTTTGTGGGCTTTGTACACAGTCTTGTTGTAGTTAAGCCTTGATTGTTGTAGGTATCACTGGGAGGAATTGGCCTCCAGGCCAATTGGCTGTAAGAATCATCTCTATCTACAGTGGGAGAACTTCTGTGCTGAAGACACCCTTATGGGGCAAGACTTGCTTCAGTGGGGCTTTGGTGCTCACTGAGTCTGCCCCCTGAGTGTGTCCCTTATGGATCTGAGGAGTTGTAATCTGGATGGTCCCACTCTGACCACTGGGTACACTGGCTCTTGGATCTAAGGAGGTGCTAATTAAGCCTCTTCCTGAGGCTACCCAGCAGGAGCTATGAAGAGATCTGCAGATTCCCCTTCCTTGTTTGGGGTTTGGAGGTGCCCAGATGAGGCACAGCTGTGAAGCAGTGCAAGCTTTTGTGGGGCCTTGGGCCTTCTCTTGGAAGTTCTGGGTCTGTCTGGCCCAGCTGCAGTTTGTTAGGTAATTTTCAGATTGCAAAGGGCCAGGGCATTCATATGCAAAAGCCTCTGCCGCAGCCTGGGGGGGCAGGGTCTCAGGGAATCAAAGGGTGGAGCAAGCAGCTATGGCTGATCCTCAGCCCTGCCCTAAGGGGCCCCGAGTCTCAGTGTCCCAGTAATCGCAGCAAGCACCTCTAAGAGAAAGCCACCCTCGAGTTCTGAGTTCTGCCTGCTGCCAGACAGTCCAGTTTCTCCCCGTATGAGTCTGGGTCCCCAGAGACTTCCCAGAACTGGAGTTCAGAGCATTCGGGGGCTTGTGACCCCCTCCCGATTCAAAAAGACAGCCGCGTCCTCAGTTGCCAGCCCTACCCACGTGCGCCTCCGTACCTCTGCACTTTACTTCCGCACCTCCTCTGAGTCTCAGTGTGCTTTTCTCTTTCCTTCTAGTTGTAGAATTTCCATTCAGCCAGCCTTCCCATGGTTCTGGATGATGTCCGTTTTGTCTTTTAGTTGTATTTTTGAAGTTGTTGTGGGAGGCAGCAATTTCCAGTGTTTACCTATGCCACCATCTTGGTTTCTCCCTAATTCGGATTTTTTGACCAAATACTTTACCAAATGATTTTTTTTAATCCTCACCCGAAATTATTTTTTGGAGAGATTTTTTAGAGAGAGTGGAATGGAGGGGGGACAGAGAGAGAGAAAAACATCAATATGAGAGAGACACATCGATTGGTTGCTTCCTGCAGGCACCCTGACCAGGGCCCGGGAGCAAACCTGCAACCCAAGTACCTGCCCTTGACCAGGGATCAAACCCATGACCCTTCGGTTCCAGGGCCAATGCTCTAACCACGGAGCAAAACCAGTTAGAGCAATTAAATGATATTTGAGTTCAAGTCCACAACTCTTTGATTATCTACAAAGTAGGTACTTCTCCATGGAAAAATAAATTCAGAATCACTTTTTAAATAAGTTAGCTGAGCAAAGTATATTGAAAAAAGTGGGAGTCAGTCTCAATAAAAATTTCTTTGGCCAGGTCACCTTCTACCCTGTTTCCTCATCTGAAAAATGGAGATCATAATTTCTAATTTATTATGGGATTAAATAAATGTAAAGTGCCTACCATAGCACGTGTTACAGTAGAAAAAAAACGGTAAGTGTTAAACCATGCCCTGCTTTCCCCTGGTCACTGCAGAGGAACACAGATTATTACGACCCAGTTCTCAACTGCAAAGAACTTACTACTTTGTACAGAAAAATGTTTGAGGGGTCCTACTACAGAGAAGAATATAATAAAAATGCTATAAATTTTTGATTCACTATTTTAAAATCCCTAAATTAAGTGAGTGGATCATAATACCCAGGGATAGAAAACAAAAGTGTCTTTGTTCAGAAATAACTTTTAACATTTGAACTCAAAACATCTTAACTTCTCACTTTAAACATTGCCAAGTTTGGAAAGAACTAGTTCTGTTTGTTCATAAGCTATCATTGGATGGTATCATTCTGAGGATACAAGTTTAATAGCCAAGGTAGGAATAATGAATTTTAATCCTGTAGTAGAAGCTTTCTTGTATTGTGAGAAAATGTTTGACCTGTATATTGAATATTGGTTGCCTAGCTAATTTCTTATTTTTAAAAAGACAGTAAATTATTTTAATTTTCTACAAGTATTTTTTTTTTATTGTTTTATTACTTAAAGTATTACAAAGGGTATTACATATGTGTCCTTTTTTTTTGTTCCCCGCCCTTGACAATCCCCTGGCCTCCCCTACCCCCCAGTGTCTTATGTCCATTGGTTATGCTTATATGCATGCATACAAGTCCTTCGGTTGATCACTTTACAAGTATTTATATATGATACTTGATTCAAGGAGTGCTTTGTGGTATCAGTATGTATTCCAGTACATAATCTCAAATTTTTAATTTGTACAAAACCAGAGCTCTGCCTAGTTTCATTTCAATCTGGTTCCTTTTACCCCTCAAAATTCAGCCTCCTTCCTGTCACCATGCTTGGCATGAGTATTCTCTGCTTTCCTTTGGACTTTGTTGACATTTAGATTCATCTGGAATAATATAGATATGATTTGTTATTTAGGGAATGAACTTTATGACAAATGGTAATACATTGATGATAAAATCAGTGCTCTATTTTCCCCTTTCATTTTAAGATGTAACCTAGATCGTTGGCACCATAGAACTTCTAAGAAGTGAATTTAACCAAGAGCAGTATTATCTAGGGAGTTATGCAAAAATTACGAATGCCTGTAGCTCACCCCATTCCAATTGAATCAGAAGGAGAGGGTAGGAATAAGGCATTGGTGAGTTTTTTTAAACTCCAGGTGATTCTGATACACAACCAGGATAAGAATCGTCAACCTAGAAGGGAGAGTAAGATTGCGGTTATACAAAATATATAAAATATTTTCCTAAATGGCTAGCATATTTGTCCAAAATAAATGATCAGTAAGGAATGTGATTTTTAAAATGTGGCCTGGCATTTAATTAATATGCCATGTCAAGTTCAGTAAATAGTTGGGAAGTCTCTCAAACCAACTTTTTGTAATATGTTTAATTGAAGATTAAAGTCTTTACTTAAATGTAAGTCATTATTTTACTTGAAGGTAGTTTCTTAAAATATTAAACATGCCCTGGCCAGTGTGGCTCAATTGGTTGAGCGTCGTCTTGTGCACCAAAAGGTTGCCAGTTTAATTCCCAGTCAGGTTAGATGTCCATTTTGGGTTTGGTCCCTGGTCGAGGTGTGTACAGGAGAAAACTGATTGGTGTTTCTCTCTCTCCCTTCCCTTCCTCTCTCTCTAAAAAAATAAATAAAAATATACTTTTTTAAAGGCTAACTATTTACCTAAAGTAGCCATTTCCAAATTCTCTCTCTCTCTCTCTCTCTCTCTCTCTCTCTCTCTCTCTCTCTCTCTCACACACACACACACACACACACACACATCTTTTCTTTGCTCATATCCCATTGATAGTAAAAAAATGAAATTGGTCATTTATTAGGCCACTTGGCATCCTTGAAGTTGAAAAATCAACTTTTGGATATTTGCTACAAATAATCCAAAGAGCAATATTTATACAATAGAGGTATGTTACACTTAAACAGTCAGATATGCTTTACATTTACAGGTAGTCTTCTGTTGTGGCCATAATCTCATCTGTTTCAGTTGTGCTTTACGTGTGTTCTTATGTGTGTTCTCTCAGATAGTAAAGTGAATGCAAATATATGTAGTCAGTTTTATTCTAACAAAGTCTTAATTTATTATACAAAATTAAAAGTTTTAATTAAATATTTATAGTAGAAAAACATTTTCTTATGTTTGCATATATAAAGATGAAAACATCTAGCATAAAATTAGCTGTGTTGATTTAAGAGCTGGTATGGATTTTTGTCACATTCAGCAAAGGAAGGTACCATTAAACTATACAGTTAGAAATTTGAATTCTGTTAGATGTTGAAGCATATATTTGCCTCTAAGGACACAGTAAAACTATTCAAAAGTTTACTTATTTTCCAAGATCATCTAACTACTATTGCTGAACAAGAAAAATTTAATTGTCAATTTCTATTTCTATTAGTCAGTTTTTTCAATTTGTCTTTAAAATCTTCCTTACATTTTTGGTTGTTTTATTATTTGCTTTTTAAAATATTCAGTGTCAGGACAAAAGTACACCGTTTAAGTAATTAAGTAAGCAGGCATACGTCTCCCCTTCTCACCTGCTTAATTCTAAATTGCAAGGCCTGCCGTGTAAAATTTTAGATCATCAGACCAACATATTGACATTAAGTATCAAACTGACTTCATTTTTACTTCCTAACGTTTCCCATTGCTACTTTGCATTTTTCTTCACTAAAGCATCTGTTAGTTAGTGAGTTTTCCAGTTCCTTCTTCATCTTTTTTTTCCCTTGTAGCTGTGAGCACTCCAGCAGATTGCATCATTAGGTTGGGCCCTGTGAGCTGTTTTGCTCTGTTCCAAGTATCTGATTCAGCAGGCCATAGACCGCTGCTTGCCAGAAAATCGCCATTGCTTCGAGGCTGGCGCTTGCCTACTTGTTTTGATCGCTTGAGATATGAGAGTTTGTTTGCCAGAATCACTGTGGATAGAAATAGAAGGGTGCAGATAAGAAAAAGCACTGCAATTATAATTAAGCAAACTAGCATAGCCATTTTGTTGTTGTTTTCCTCACAGGCTTCTTTTTTGAAAATTTCACTGTGACTTTTGCTTGTGTTTTCGATGCTCTGTAATGTCGGAGCACTGTTCCTAGCAACCGAAGGTGTATAAAGCTCCAGTTCAGATTTAGGGGTGAAAGATGTGATGTGAGGCGATGCTGCTATTTCAGGCATGTTTGTAGAATTGCTCCTTTTATCTACTTGAGTTGCAGAGTTTGTGTTACTGTTTTCGTTTTGGTTTCTGCCTGTCTTATTTTGAATATCTGGATCCCAGACAGTAGTGTTGTTAGCCCCCAGATGGGTATAGTTTGTTCTTGTTCCAGAAGACAAAGAAAAAACTGTTGTCATCAGAAAGGCAAGATGCAGGTAATGACCTGTGTGTTTCATGTCCGTGATAATGCCAGTAACCTGTTGGGGATAGAAATATAATTTGAGAATTTGTAAAAGAATTAACGGTTTCTGATTTTGGTAATTGTATTAAAAGATAAGACAGCTGATATGTTACAAGTAAGCTGCAAGCTCATGCCTGACATTTGCAATTCCTTCTTAACCGGTTTTTTTTTTCTATTAGGCTATACATAAAGAAACAATTTTAATTTCTGTTATTCTTTTAAGTGAATGCCATGGTTTTATATTGTGTTCTCCCTCTTAAGCATGCTAGACTTCAGCTTTGAGTCATATACTTCTGCTTTTTTTGATTCCTCCCCCATTTAAGGATCCTTTTTTGCAGAAACTCCCCACCTTCTAACATATGTGTCATCAGTCTTTATAGTAAAGGAGAAATGTGGCTTTAGGCATTTTGCTTCATGCATGAAAGTAGCTTTTTTTTTCCTGGTCAGGAAAGGGGAAATGTGGTAGCAACCAAAAGAAAATGGACTTCAAATAGGAATTCAGGGTGGGTATTTTTTAATTTTTCCTTCTTGGGTATTTATCTTGAAGCTTAGAATAAAGCTGGTACTTAGAAATATATCCCCAGGATTTGTGAAAGCAATTTTATGGTGATGGTTCTCTCTTTTCACCTCTGTATCCCCTGACTGACGGTGGCTTTCTGAAAGCAAAGGCCAAAGGCGGCATGCCTGTTTTCTCAGCCTGAAAATCTGGCATTACAAAGAAAAAGAGGCAGAACTCTTCTGAATAATCTCAAAGGTTTAACAAAAGTTACTGACTTTTTTATATTATTTATGCCTAGCATTTTTTCCTGTGAATATTTTGACATAATTTTTGAAATAAAGTATACAGCAAAATAGAAGTAGAGCCTCAGGATCATGGGATTTTAGACTGAAGTGGGAAGTCAAGGCAGATGGTAAGCATCTCAACATATAAATAAAAAGGTTGCATTTCAGTTTTGGCTCTGAGCTCCCTGGAAGCCAGTACAAAAAGGGGATAAGACTGTTCTAATTCTCATTATCCACCATAGAATTGGTGATTTAAATAGAACTGGTATATCTGTTCAGGGACTGGTAAGCCAGAAAGACTTACCACCATTATTGAACTATCCCTTTTATAATAATATTCCAATTTGTTGGAGCTACTTTTATAAGATTTTTTTATTGTTAGTAATCATTTAAGGGAACTAGAAAAAAAAAAACCTAGATTATTCTCCTTTTTTAATGCAGCTTTGATTCCGTAAATCTAGGAGGGACCTGAAATTCTTCATTTCTGACCCAACTCCCAAGCAACATAGGTGCTACTGCTAGTCAGTTTCACAGTTTTATAAGAAATAGTGTATAAGAAGTAGCTTATAATAAATGATGCTAACTGGAAATTAACCTATGAAATAATATCACCTATTAATAGTAGGGAGAAAAAAAAACTTTTATTATGTGCTCTAGAATTAAGATTACTTTTTGGATTTTGACCTTTAATAAACAGTGAAAGATACGGTGCATTGACTTCTACATAATAGTGTTCAGCTTCCATTTTTAAGTTGAATGGCATAAATCTTTGCCTTCTTTATGATTCTTTCACAGAGGAATACTTTAAATTGGGTTAGCAAGCAATTTCCATCCTTTTATACTAGACTGGCCATCTGCATAGATGGTAAAATAATCTAAAGTGGGTTGTTATTGTCACATTAGTTTGTTAACAATGTAGTACGCACCCTAGCATTCGCACACATTTAACAATGCTTACCACGGGATGGACAATGGGCCCGCTGTTGATTGTCTTCAGCCAGATGTGCTGTCATCCCCAAATAAACAAACTGTTAACAAAATGAGACTTTCTCTTATCCTTACAAGTTTCCAAGAATAGAGGACTGTCTCTGTATCCCTAATTTAAACCAATGAGGCCAGGTTATGTTATCAAAAGTGTCTGTGTGTGTTTTTAATCTCTGGTCATTTTCAATAACATGTTTAATGCCTAAGCATTAATAATAATAAATTTATTTTTTAAACTTTTTTTCATAACCAAACTTTCTAATTGACTGTAGAATTTAAACTCAGATCCTTCCTAGTTCTAATTTAAAACTCTATACTGATAATAAATCTTTCTCATGTCTAACAAGTTTTACCTAACAGGACAGAAAAAAAGCATACATTTTCCATCACTTTTGATTCTACTTTGTTAGTAAGAGTCGTAGGTACTATTTGAAGCACTTCCTCAAACACGAATCTGTACAAAGTTATAAGTAAAAGGCATAAGAAAAGCCATATATGTTACCTACCTTGCAAAATGGTTGGTCAAAATCTGATTATAACCTTATTTTAACAAGCCACTTCTTTTCTTGTCTTTAAGCACAGCTTGCAGTAATATAAAGCAGAACGGACTTGGAGAAATAGGAATGTTCAAGTAAATCTGCAGCAAAAAAGGGCATGTACAGCTAGCTCTCCACTTTTCGAACCAAACCACAGATGATGACACATTTCCTTTTCTCCGCAACTAGAGCACATGTCACAGGGGAAAAAAACACCCGAATCTCTAACTTGTCTAGTTGGCCACTGGCATGACAGGAGGCTTTGTAGAACAAATCCCGCCTCCAGGGCAGGGAGGGTTTTTCTCTTAATGTCTTTTGACCTTATGCTCATTATATATGCCTGCTTTATATGCTTTTGGATGACATATTAGTATCATTCAAAAGAAGATGAAATGGCATTTTCCCTGCAGCATTAAAATCACCTCTAAAAATTTTATTTGTCTGCACAGATTGATTTGATAAATGAGTTTGGAGACCTGAGGTATTGGTCAAATAATAGAAACAGTGATATACATAACCCACATCTCAAATTATGGAACTGCAACGATTTGAGAAAGTACATAGTAAATTTAGATTATATAGGATAGAACATGCTTTTGTGTGGTTTAGTGTACACACACACACACACACACACACACACACACACACACAGCCTCTGTCTCTGTCTCCCTTTCTCTCTCTGCTCCCCCCTTCTCTCTCTCTCCTTCCCCCTTGAATGTCCTTTCATCACCTCATTTTTCTCCCATAAGTGGCTGCCCCTCAGGATCTCTCTGTTTTTGTTCATGATAGCAACATTCTTTGTAATCTCAGAGGCTTGTTTTATAGCAAGTCCTTTTAATTCAAGTCCTTTCTTATAGCCCTGATCTGACCTAAGACAATGTTGATTTTTCCTTTATATTCTTAGATCAGTTTCTTTTTTATGATCACCATAGTACAGTTTTGAGCCACATAATGACAGGCCACATGTACAATGGTGATCCCATAAAAATACATAATGGAGCTGATAAATTTCTATTGCCACTAGTAGCCATGGTAACATCATAGCACAACACATTGCTCACGTGTTTGTGGTGATGCTGGTGTAAACAGACCTACAGCACTGCCAGTCATATAAAAATATAGCTCATACAATTACAGTATTAGGCCATACCATCTAGGTTTGTGTAAATGCACTCTGATGTTTGTACAACGATGAAATTGAACGTTTCCCTATATTGTTAAGTGGTGCATGACTGTATTTTAAATCCTTATTAGGCCATGTCTAGAGTACTATATCTTTTTTACTAGCCCTGACGCCTTTATATGTATATTACTTCCTTTGATCATATCACCCCTTTCTTTAAAAATTAGAGTTGAATAACTCCTTAACACCTATAGCAATGTTTCAGAAATGTTCATGCAAATAACCATTAGATGAGAGGGTTTTTTAAAAAACAATGAAAACTGCCAGGCCCCATGTCATAGATTTATATGTACTAGTAGGTCTGGGCTTGGACCAGGAACCTGCGTTTTTATCAGGCACCACAGCTGATTCTCATGCTGGTGTGACACTCTGAGGAATACTGAGCTCTTAGGAGAAAACCTAAGCCCCTTAGGTGAACAGTTTTGGTCCCTTCACAATTTAGCTATTATGTATTTTTCCAGCTTTATCTCTTAGAACTTCTCTGTGTGAATCCTCCATTCTAGCTAAACTAGCTGACTGTTGACCTCAACACTCCTAGTTACCTATCTCTTTTCCTCTTTACCTCTCTCCATGAGGTCTGCTAGTCCCTCCTCTCGTTGAGTTTGAAGTTCCTCCTATCCACGTCAGCTGGTGTGTCTTCTAAGTAGCTTTCACTGACTACCCCAGTTTGTATTGATCCCTCCCTCTTCTGAACTTAATAGCACTATTTTTCTCTGTAGTTCCTTTGATGTGATTATATACTACCTCATACTTTTTCTTTGATCTTGAAATGTTTTTTTATTTTTGAAATATATTTTTATTGATTTCAGAGAGGAAGGGAGAGGGAGAGAGTTGGAAACATCATTGATGAGAGAGAATTATATTGATCAGCTGCCTCCTGCACGGCCCGAAACCCTGGCATGTGCCCTGACCAGGAATCGAACTGTGACCTCCTGGTTCATAGATTGATGCTCAACCACTGAGAGACAACAGCTGGCCTCTTTTATTTCAAAATCATATAACTTGTCCCATTTTTATCTTACTTCCAACAAGATTAAAAGCTTCTGAGGTGAGGATACTCATCTTAGCCTAGGTCAGCCGTGGGCAAACTACGGCCCACGGGCCGGATCCGGCCCGTTTGAAATGAATAAAACTAAAAAAAAAAAAGACCGTACCCTTTTATGTAATGATGTTTACTTTGAATTTATATTAGTTCACACAAACACTCCATCCATGCTTTTGTTCCAGCCCTCCGGTCCAGTTTAAGAACCCATTGTGGCCCTCGAGTCAAAAAGTTTGCCCACCCCTGGCCTAGGTTGTAGTAGTACTGCCAGAGTCATCAAGTATGGAACATTGGGCCAAAGTTCATATAGGTTATTTTGATTGAAATTCTAGTACTGTGTTCTTCAGGGCTTTCTGTTGGTCCTGACCTTGGCTACACACATTGTTTAGCATTATTTTTAGTATAAGCAACATATGACTAATATGGCTGGCTTAATATAAAAAAAAAAATGGAACTTATTGTTTCATACAACTGAATAGTCCAGGGATAAATTTGATCCCAGGAGAGGCTTTATCTAGGACTCAAATGAAATGCTGGGGCCCCAGTTTCTTTATTTCTCTGCTCCGTATCTTCAGTTTTTAGTCATGCTTTTCTTCAGATCTCAAGATATGAGCTAACAACTCCCAGGGTTCTATGTCCCCTTGTTTATAAGTCTAAATTTCCAAGAGTTTAAACTGCAGTGTCTTAATTGGGCCTCTTTGGCTCTGGTTGTCCTAATTTGAGTCATTTGATCACTACTGAAACATTCTCTCTGGTCAAGATAGGATAAATGAATTCACAAAGCTATTCAGTTCTCTCTAGGGCTCCAAGTGGGTCATTCCCACCCAGACTGTTCACCTGGGAAGTTTGGTGGGCCTGGAGGCAACTTACCAGTGTCCACTGCCTTCTTCCTTGATTGACTGTGATGGACAAGTTTGTTGTTACTGTCATAGCTCAAAGTTTTCAAATTGGAGATTTGTCCCTTCTGTTTTACTTCAGCATTACTTCTCAATGTCTAAAGAACAACTGATTTAGAAAAAGGATCCAGCCCTGGCCAGGTGGCTCAGATGGTTGCATCATCCCATGCATCTAGGTTGTGGCTTTGATCCCTGGTTGGGGCATATACAGGAGGCAACCAGTCGATGTTTCTCTCTCACATTAATATTCTCTCTCTCCCTCTCACCCTTTATCCCTCCCTCCCATTCCCTCCCTTTCACCCTCTCTCTTGATAATCAATAAAAACATATCCAAACATATCCTTGGGTTAGGATTAATAAAAGGATCCAGACTTTGTATAATTTTTGTATTATTGTTAGTTTTCTCTACAAAGCTAATCAGAAAATAAAGTAATAAAATAGATTAGTAGCATCTATGTATCTATTCAGAACTCTGTTAACAATCTGTGTCCTTTTTTTTTTGTCATCTTTTTTAGGTTCAAAACTGGTCAAATCAACGGTGATTTGCTAATATACCATGTCTTGCTGACTTTAAAGCCATATTATGCCAAGCCATATGAAATTGTAGTGGACCTCACCCATACTGGGCCTAGCAATCGCTTTAAAACGGACTTCCTCTCCAAGTGGTTTGTTGTTTTTCCTGGCTTTGCTTATGACAATGTCTCTGCAGTTTATATCTATAACTGTAACTCCTGGGTCAGGGAGTACACCAAGTATCACGAGCGGCTGCTGACTGGCCTCAAAGGCAGCAAAAGGCTCATTTTCATAGACTGTCCCGGGAAACTGGCTGAGCACATAGAGCACGAACAGCAGAAGCTACCCGCTGCCACCTTGGCATTGGAAGAGGACCTGAAGGTGTTCCACAACGCGCTCAGGCTGGCTCACAAAGACACCAAGGTTTCTATCAAAGTAAGTGCCACTCTGTTAGCTTCGCTGCCTTTCTTGACTAACCAGACTGTACGCTGGCCTTCCTAAGTGCCCCTGTGGTACTGTAACAAATGTAAAGTAAGTCCAGAGAGAGAACTAAGCTTTCTATCTTCATGGAGTCCTGTGGATGGTACAAGAGGTGTACACTTAGTTCTAGGTTGGGTTGGAGATAGTAGAGTACTGTAGAGAAGGCAATTTGCTCTATATCAGTCAGATGGCACAAATGCGTGGAAATTATCTAGTGAGAATTCTGATTATGGCATGCTTTTTGCAGAATGAGAAACAAGAACTTTCAGGATAAAATCAATAGTTGTCCATAGAATTCTTGACCTCTTTTTAAAAACAAATTAATTTTTTCTGATGTTTTTAGTCTCTTTGAGAGCATTTATTACAATAATTGTTTGCATATGTAATGGTGGTAACTCTTTCTTATATGGCAAACATAATATTTTGGTTGGTTGGTTGGTTTGGGGCCTCTTACAATTCAACATAATGGAATTTAATTCTTCTTCACTCCACCCTCTCACCACCACTTTCCAGGTTGGTTCTACTGCTGTTCAGGTAACCTCAGCAGAGCGAACAAAAGTCCTGGGGCAGTCAGTCTTTCTCAATGATATCTATTATGCTTCGGAAATTGAAGAAATCTGCCTAGTGGATGAGAACCAGTTCACCTTAACCATTGCAAACCAGGGCACACCACTCACCTTCATGCACCAGGAGTGTGATGCCATTGTCCAGTCTATCATTCACATCCGGACACGCTGGGAGCTGTCGCAGCCAGATTCTATCCCCCAGCACACCAAGATTCGGCCAAAAGATGTCCCTGGGACGCTGCTCAATATCGCATTACTTAATTTAGGCAGTTCAGATCCTAGTTTACGGTAAGTTATTTAAAAAATGCACTTCAACTTTATTTAAGGTTTATTGCTTTTAAAGTGAACCACTTAGTAAGCTGTGAAAGCAGCCTCTTCCCTAATACTGTAAATTGGGAGGTATGCTATGTTGGTTAACCAGCATGACCTCATCAAGCTGTGGCATATTCACATGAACTGTGGAATTTCAAATAGGGTGATTCACACTAAACCAATATATGTTCTTTGTCCAGGAAACTTTCATCTGAAACAGACAACGTAGCAGTTTTGGGGGGTTTTCCCCGAAATTTGTATTTTATTAAGTCTACTCCCAAATTAAGTTTCCCTCCTCTGAGTCTTCTAATTAAGTTTTCCTGTGTTCAATGTATATCACTATTAAGGTCCCTCGCAGTTAAATTTGATTATCATTGTTTGCTAAGGAAGGTTTAATGTTCCATAACTCAAACAATAACATTGTTGCATATTTTCCATCTATGTGACTTTAACAAAATTCTTGAAAGAAATCTTGAGATAAATATAGATGTCATCTGAGCAGAGATAATTGGTTCTGTTTAGGCTTAATAATCTGGACACAAATCAGGAAAGAGCATGGTCTATGTAGTCAGTAGATTTGGTTTATTTATTTTTGTAATATATTTTTATTGATTTCAGAAAGGAAGGGAGAGAGAGAGAGAGAGAGAGAGAGAGAGAGAGAGAGAGAGAGAAAAATCAGTGATGAGAGAGAATCTGCTGCCTTCTGCACGGTCCACACTGGGGATCGAACCCACAACGTGGGCATGTACCCTTGACCAGAATCGAACTCAGGACTCTTCAGTCCATAGGCTCTATCCATTGAGCCAAATCAGCTAGGGCTCAGTAGATTTGGTTTAAATATAGATCAGTTATGTATGCCTTTAGGCAAAGTACTGAACCTGAGCTTGTTTCCTCATTTTTTTTTAAATGCTGGTTCTTTATTATTATTTTTTTAAATATATTTTTATTGATTTTAGAGAGGAAGGAAGAAGGAGAGGGAGAGAGAGAGAGAAACATCCATGATGAGAGAGAATCATGGATTGGCTGCCTCCTGTAAGTCCCCCACAGGGGATCGAGCCCACAACCCGGGCATATGCCCTTGACCAGAATCAAACCAGGAACCTTTCAGTTCGCAGGCCGAAGCTTTATCCACTGAGCCAAACCAGCCAGGGCTCGTTTCCTCATTTTTAAAATAACAATGTCATCCTTATATACTTACAAATATTTAATAGTATGTCACATAGTATAGTATAGCCCCTAGCAAATACTTTGTGCTTAGTATATATTATTTCCTCCCAACTTCCCCACCCTCCTATCCCTCCACCCCTGTGTGTCTCTTTGTACTTCTTCCTCTTTTCCGGTCTCTATTTCATGTTAGGATAATTTTTTCTCCGAAGTACCTTGAGACTGTCAAGGTTTTTACATATATAAATTCTTAGCTTCAGGAAATCTTCACTAGGATATAACATAGCCCAGGTTTAATAAATGGACCTTTTAGGATTCCAGATCTCTCTATTTAAAAGGGGAAAAATATCAAGATTTTTTTACATGGGTGGGTCTCATGGGGTTCGTGAACTCTCAGAAATTATACACAAGATTTTGTGTATTCTTTGCTCTTATTCTCTCAGAGAAGTCTGACACCTACCCCCACATTGAGGGACCCCAGTTTCTTTTCTTTTACTTTAGAAAGAGAGAGGAAGGGAGAGAGAGAGAAACATCACTTTTTTGTTCCACTTATTTATGCATTCATTGGTTGTTTCTTGTATGTGCCCTGACCAGGGATCAAACTGGCAACCTTGGCGTATCCAGATGACTCTGTAATCAGCTGAGCTACCTGGCCAGGGCCAGGACCTCAGTTCTTTATAGTTGTTGAAATATGCAGAGAGTAGCCCTAGCCGGTTTGGCTCAGTGGAGAGTGTCGGCCTGTGGATTGAAGGGCCCTGGGTTCGATTCTGGTCAGGGGCACATGCCCAGGTTGCGGGCTTGACCCCAGTAGGGGGCGTGCAGGAGGCAGCCAATCAATGATTCTCTCTCATCATTGATTTTTCTATCTCTTTCTCCCTCTCCCTTCCTCTCTGAAATCAATAAAAATATGCTAAAAAAAGAAAAAGAAATATGCAGAGTAGTCAATGTCAAAATGGTATAACTCAGAATTCCTAGGAGTTAGTAAGAGATACATAAACTTAGAAACAGTAATCTTAATATTCTCATTTGGGGAAAATGGAGCCTTTAATATCTAATTTAAAGTTCCTCATCCAAGAATGCTAACAATCTTCTAAAAATCATTTGCTTGGTAAAACTGTATTCTTCTGTGAAATAAAGCACGATGACAGCTTCTGCTTTTTGCTGGAGCATGTCATGCCAGAGAAAATTCCTTCTGGCAGACTTAAACTTCAGCGGCATTTCCTCCCTCTGTGTCTATTGCATAAATATATTAGTATGATGGAAGTTCAGAGGCAAGGAAAACCTGAAAATTACTGAGCAATCAAACCATTTCTTTTGCTCTATAGGAGAGAAAAATTAAAATTTAAAAATGAATCTGAGTTTTTTGAGCTGTCTCCTAAATTGTTTAAATCTATTTTCAGACATTTATAAAGGAATTTTTTGTTCTAATGAAATCTGGATATATATATATATATATATATATTAAGCTTTTTGTTTGTTTTTTATTTTTAATAGTTATGTGGAAGGGGTTCATGGAAGAATAGAGGGGGACTTGATTATGTTAAAAAAAAAATTGTAGTATAACTTGTAGGACACCCAGGAAGAGATTCAGTAGATGCCAATTAAAGATTTTAACATTTTAATATAATGAGGGGCCATTTCATTTGCCTTCTTATGATCTGCATTATAATTGGATCTAGCAGGAGGAGGAACCATAATTTGAGTTTCAGCTTCACTGAATATGCAGTATGCCTTACTCTTTATTTCTGTTAATCATAAACCACTCATCTTTTACGTCTCAGTGAGATGTCTTTTAGGAAGGCCTTATCCTCACTTGTCTTAGGAGCCTCAGAGTGCTCTTCTGGTTATGTCAAGAATTTCCCTTTGGGAAGGCAGGGGAAGGGGCGGGTGGGAAGAGATCAACCAGTGAATTTGTATGCATATGTGCATAACCCATGGACACAGACAGTGGGATGGTGAGGGCCTTAGGGTGGAGGGTATGGGAACAGGCTGGAAGAGGTTAATGGGGAAAAAGGAGGACCTATGTAATACTTTAAACAATAAAGATTTAAAATTTAAAAAATAAAAATAAATTTAAAAAAACTATTCCTTTAAAAAGAAAATCCCTGAGTGATCAAGGGGTATTTTACTCTAGAATCATAACAACTCTAATTGATCATAAATTTAAAAAATAGTTGATTATGCTTTGTAATAAAATCACAAGTTGTATGTTATGAAAAAATTTTGGAATTATAAAAAAAAATAATTTTTAAAACAAATTCATCTGTGTTTTCTCCTAGGTCAGCTGCCTATAATCTTCTGTGTGCCTTAACCTGTACCTTTAATTTAAAAATCGAGGGCCAGTTACTAGAGACATCAGGTTTATGTATCCCTGCCAACAACACCCTCTTTATTGTCTCCATTAGTAAGACGCTAGCAGCCAATGAGCCACACCTCACCTTAGAATTTTTGGAAGAGTGTATTTCTGGATTTAGCAAATCTAGTAAGTAATGATCATTTCCTTTAATGTGTTAACAATAATTCTAAGAAAATTCAAAGAAAACGCTTTCATTTCAGGAGTTACCAGTGAAATCTCTAATTGATTTTGTTTTTACCTCTTTACCTCTTTTAATTTTTCACTTGTGGTACTCTGTAACTGAAGGCACTCTGAAAGGACTTTGTGGCATACCACACTGACAGATCCACTAAAATCTTGGCAGTAAATCAAGGTGGCAAAGTTTTGATACCTTACATGCCTCTGAACCCACTCACAAAGTATTTTTCTCAACATGCTTCAGTTTAATTAGCTTCAGCATTTCTCTACTTAGATTATTCCAAATTAGTAAAACATCTACATTGTCTCCTTGATTTAGGGAAATATTTTCTCTTTTCTTCAGCTTGACTTTGAATTATGAATTGTTGTTCATGTACAGTTCCTGGAGAGTGCAGTGCATATAATTCAGGTCCAGGGTCAACTCCTGACTTGGCTTCAATAAGTCTCATGGATTTAGCACCTACTCTTCACATCTGTCGATCTTCATATCCTGCAGTAGTATAAATGTTGCTGTTCTCACAGCTTACTTACTGACATTTTTCCCCTTTCTTTCTCCATAATACATAAGACCTGTTTTTCTGCATTTAAACACATTTCTTGATTGTTCTGCATTGGACAATTGAGAGCTTTGACAATTCATCAAAATCAGGCCACTATTTTTTTTTATAATAATGAATGTAGGAAGGTAACCCTAAAAAGAAAATGTGTAAGATAAAACAAGAAAAGTGTAAAGCTTTATTGAGAAATATTAATATATGAAGAGATTTGAGTGAACAGGCATACTGTGTTCCTGAATGAATAATTCTTCCCAGATTATTACAAATTGAGGGCAATCCAGTTAAAATTTTATGAGATTTGAGGGTTAAAAATGAGGTCAAATTTTAAATTTTTATAAATTTTACTTGAAAGTACAAACAATAAAGGACTGATTAAATTGTTGGATCTCCATGTAATGGAATAATATGAAGCCATAAAAAATGTATGAGTACAGAATTTCAGTTTGGGAAGATGAAAAAATTCTGGAGATGGATGGTGATGATGGTTGTATAACAGTGTGAATGCACTTACTGCATAAGTGTACCCTGAACTGTATACACTTAAAAATGGTAAATTTTATGTCACATATATTTACCACAATAAAAAAGTGGGGGATTTTACATGAAGTATATAAAGGAATTTTTGTACTATTTTTACATCTTTTCACAAGTTTTAAGTTTTTGTGGAGGAGTTGTACATATAAGTGTACATTATCTTTTACCTTTTACCCCTATACCCCCAAATCCTGTATTTTAAAATAATTTAAAATATTATTAATTAAAATAATTTTTTATTTACTTTTCATTGACCAACTATGCTAATAGCATATTTCTCCCCCCAGGTATTGAATTGAAACATCTTTGTTTAGAATACATGACTCCATGGCTGTCAAATCTTGTTCGATTTTGTAAGCACAATGATGATGCCAAACGACAAAGAGTCACTGCTATTCTTGATAAGCTGATAACAATGACCATAAATGAGAAACAGATGTATCCATCTATTCAAGCAAAAATATGGGGGAGCCTTGGGCAGGTATTGAGTTTGCTTAAACATTTATCTGGTACCTACCTTCTTTGTGCAAATATTTGGTACCCAATTTATGCAAAGCACTGTTCTAGGTATAGCTGTAGAAAAAACAGTCCCTTCTATCAAAAAGCATACAGACACCCACTAACTTCTTGTTCTGGTTCAAAACTATAAATGTCTAATGCATGTCTCAGAGCCAAAGAAAAACGAGTTATTTTAGCACTCTTCTCCATGGCATAATTCTATACAATTTAACTATAAAAATGTTGCTGTTAGTAAATAGAGCTTTATGATATACTCTATTAGCTTACATACCATTGGTGTCAGTGAATGTTTCTTGATGATGGGACAACTGCTTTTATTTATAGTTCTAGCATAGAGCACCAGTATTAAAATATAGAATATAATGTAACATTTTATTTCTTATCGGTCAAGAATTATGCATGTAATTTCTTCAAAGGAATCACTTAAGGAAGCTATACCCTTACTCAAACAATGCTCTGAATCCTCTGAATAATTTTAAGTGACCTTGGAACCAGTTCTATAGCCCTATAGAACATCCCTGTGCTTGATGTCACTTCCTATATTTTAAAATAATTACATTTTATATTGATCATACATTGTCTCAGAAGAGAACAGAGATGCTTTGCAAGTAATAATAATATAGAGAGATTTAAAATTTTTGAATTCTAGTTTCTTAATTTCTGAAGGAATGAAGTGAATATCTTCATCCTTTTCTGGGTATTTTATGATAAAGTACACTTACTGACAGATCTCTATATAAAACCTAATATTTTCGAGGGCTCTGATAAAAAGGGAATTTTCATGTTCAGGCTGCTCTTTGAAGTATTTTTTGAAGTATTTTTAAATTAAAAATTAAGATGGTAGCATGGCTAAAAAATTATTTTTACCCTCTTCCACTAGATCACAGATCTCCTTGATGTTGTACTGGACAGTTTCATCAAAACCAGTGCGACAGGTGGCTTGGGATCAATAAAAGCTGAGGTCATGGCAGATACTGCTGTAGCTCTGGCTTCTGGAAACGTGAAATTGGTTTCAAGCAAGGTAATCACTTTTCGTTTCCTTTGGTAATACATATGGCATAATGTATCTCTTTTTGTCATCAGAATGTTTTGTTTGTTTGTAACTAGTTAAACTGAAAGTGTTTAGTGATAAAACTTTGTTTAGCCCCTGTTTTTAAAATTCTGCTTCCTTACAGGTTATTGGAAGGATGTGCAAAATAATTGATAAGACATGCTTATCTCCAACTCCTACTTTAGAACAACATCTCATGTGGGACGATATTGCTATTCTAGCACGCTACATGCTGATGCTGTCCTTCAACAACTCCCTGGACGTAGCAGCTCATCTCCCCTACCTCTTCCACGTGGTTACTTTCCTAGTGGCCACGGGGCCACTCTCCCTTAGAGCTTCCACACATGGATTGGTCATTAATATCATTCACTCTCTATGTACCTGTACACAGCTTCATTTTAGTGGTAAGTTCCAGGATGGTAATTTGTGTTTCACCAGCTCCTGTCTCCATTTTACACCACCTGATTGACATAGATTATCTATATTATTGTTTATTATGGTGCCTTAATGCAAAACTCTTAATTTACGCTGCTCATTCAAAGATTAAATTAATTCCATGCCATATCAAGCTATAGCAAAGATTTTTCTCTGCTTATTTGCCATGTAGACTCTTGTAGCTGCCACACAAGCTAAAGACTCAGCACCAATTGACAGTGTTGCATTGCTGGCACTAAAGCCATGACAATTAAAATAATGTTTCTAGAGGGTTGGTTTAGGGAGCATGGTTATGTAATTTTGACATGATATTCAGATTTTCTAAATTCAAAATGAAGCATGGCATTTGAAATTTAAAACTTAGTGTCTTTAAAGTCTTTTCTTATTTATTTTTCCTTTTACAGAAGAGACCAAGCAAGTTTTGAGACTTAGTTTGACAGAGTTCTCATTGCCCAAATTTTACTTGCTGTTTGGCATCAGCAAAGTCAAGTCTGCCGCTGTCATCGCCTTCCGCTCCAGTTACCGGGACAGGTCATTCTCTCCTGGCTCCTACGAGAGGGAGACTTTTGCTTTGACATCCTTGGAAACAGTCACAGAGGCATTGCTGGAGATCATGGAGGTATATAACCCAAAATGATAAGGAACTGAGTTAGGTCCCTTTTTTAACCCACTCGTACTATTTCTTTATAGAAGAAATATGGTTTCTTTTGCTTTGCACTTACTACTTAAATAAAAACACTTTTATGGAATATGTTTATTGGTAACATATATTATTTACTTGATGACATTACAATAAACATCTAAATGTTTCTAAAAACAGTTATGTGCATAAATATATTCAGAGTATCCTTTCTTTTAGGCATGTATGAGAGATATTCCAACATGCAAGTGGCTAGACCAGTGGACAGAACTAGCTCAAAGGTATGTCTCAAATATAAGTTGTAAAAGTGTGTGTATTTTCAAAAAGATAGCTAATGCTTCATAATCAATATTTTAATTATTTATTGTGTATAAAAATAAAAGTTTTCATTAGCTCTTCGGATTTTTTAATTGCAGATTTGCATTTCAGTATAATCCATCCCTTCAACCAAGGGCTCTTGTTGTCTTTGGCTGCATCAGCAAACGAGTGGCTCATGGACAGATAAAGCAGATTATCCGTATTCTCAGCAAGGTACCTCTCCCCCCTCCTCAGTATTGGTGGTTCCCAAGTTGTAAAGCAAATCTTGCATTTTTCTAAAGGACATTAAATTTGAATTTAATAAGATGTGTTGTATGTTGCTTATTGAATCTTTAAACAATGAGTTTTATTTTCTTCATTGTAATTCTTTAAAATGAAGAAACCTTCTCCAAAAAAAGATGTCTTAAAAAGAAAATAAGTATTGTTTCTTTTGCTAAGAAGATACTCTTAATATTTTATCAGTTTTCAAAGACTTTAACTATATGGTAAAACTGCAGTCTTATATAAAATTATTTAATTTGTAATAATTATAATAATGTCTGATTTCTTTATTAGAATATAATATAGAAATATTAAAAAATAAAAGTCAAATGTGCATTAAGCTTACCTAGATCACTATAGCATTGGGAATAATCTGTCATTTATTAAATAAGAAATTGTTCTTGAACTGATTCTGAGATTCGGTTTAAGAGTTAATGTTTTATTTTAATGAAAGTAAAATAAAGAATTCTGTTTCCCTAAAAGGCACTTGAGAGTTGCTTAAAAGGACCTGATACTTACAACAGTCAAGTTCTGATAGAAGCTACAGTAATAGCACTAACCAAATTACAACCACTTCTTAATAAGGTAATAGAAAATGAGTGCATTCATTTTGGGTACTGGTGTTAAATCTTTTCTTTCAAATAGTTCACAAAAATAGGTGGGTTGGGAAATGTAGCTATAAAGAAAAAGTTATAGTTAAAGTCGTTATTTGAAATATTTACATTAGAGGAAGAATAAGTATGAAGATTATGTTCTCAAATGCTTGTGTTTTGTCTCATCAGTGCTAAAGGAAAAATAGGTATATATTCTTAAGTGTTTTATCTAATAAGTATTGATAACGTATCTGCTATATGCCAAGTACTGTTTTAGATGCTAGAGACATAATACTGAACAAAGCCAATAAAGTTCCCTGCCCTCATGGAACTTACATTCTAGGGTGAGTGGGAGTAGAGTGGATAGATAAACAAAGTAAGCAAAATACATAGTATGTTAGTTCGTGGTTATTATTGTGGAGAAATGTAAAGCTGAGTGAAGTATACCTGATTATCAAGAAGATGATATTTAAAAGGAATAAAATGGAGTGGCCACTGTTTTAGGATGGTCTGAGCTCATCTCAGCTTTGTGATCTCAACCAAGTCATTTAACATATCTGGCCATCATGTTTGCACATTGGTAAAATAAGTAAACGAGACTAGATAATGGCATTGTTTATCTTCCAACTCTAAAGTTTTGTAGAATTTTGTGACTTGAGTACCAACATATGCTAGACTTGAAATAGATTACAGAAAAATACTTATATGCTCCTGGTCTTGACTTACATGAGCATTCTAGTCCTAAATTATATAAGACTAGAGGCCCGGTGCACAAAAATTTGTGCATGGGGGCGGGGGGGGGGGTGTAGGTCCCTCAGCCCGGCCTGTGCCCTCTCGCAGTCTGAGACCCCTCGGGGGATGACCACCTGCTGGCTTAGGCCCACTCCCCAGGGGACTGGGCCTAAGCTGGCAGTCAAACATCCCTCTGGCAGCCCGGGAGCCCTCGTGGGATGTCCACTTACCAGCGGGGGGAGCAAGCCTAAGCTGCAGTCGGACATCCTTAGCACTGCTGAGGAGGTGGGAGAGGCTCCCACCACTGACGCTGTGCTGGCTGCCGTCAGCCTGACTTGTGGCTGAGCAGAGCTACCCCTGTGGGAGCACACTGACCACCAGGGGGCAGCTCCTACATTGAGCGTCTGCCCCCTGGTGGTCAGTGTGTGTCATAGTGACCAGTCATTCTGCTGTTAGGGTCAGTTTGCATATTACCCTTTTATTATATAGGATTATTATATAGGATGTTTCTCTCTTCTTCATCATCTCACAAGTAAAAATGAGAGTCAAAGGGGCTAAGTAACTTGTCCAGAGTCACATACTAATAAAAGAAAGAACCATGATTCTAATCTAAGGCTGTACATGTATTGCCCTATATACCACACTACTAAATAAGGGTTCCCAAAATAAATATTTTTATTTCAGAGCATCAAGAGACTGTTAATACTGGTAAGAGTGACAAGAAAATTGAAAAGGTAGAATCTGAACAAAAGTTAAAGAGGGAGATAGGTAGGATTTAGTGTGGAGAAAGGGAGTGATAGCAGTAGGATTGTATAGGTGCTAGATCAGTGGAGGGATGGTAGGTAGACCATTCTATTTGTTATGGAGAAACTGTTCAGGAAAATAGTGACAAAGGAGGTTGTAAAGATAGAACTAAACTAACATTCAGCGTTCTTCAGGAAGGAGTTTGGAAATGTACCCATGTTTTCAAGCAAATAGGTAATATGACAAAAGCAGGACCTAGAAGGGTCATTTGATAGTAGAGTGCAGAGCAGATGGGAGCATGGAGAAACTGGAGGTAAAAAGAATCCACATTTAGATGAAGAAGGTTGGCATGGAATAGTGTCATTAGCCATAAGCAGATGCAAAAGAGATTAGTTTGGAAAAATCAGTAAAACTTGTTGCCCTAGCTGGTTTGGCTCAGTAGATAGAGCATCAGCCTATGGACTGAAGGGTCCCAGGTTCGATTCCAGTCAAGGGCACATGCCTAGCTTTTGGGTTCGATCCCCAGTGTGGGGTGTGCAGGAGGCAGCCAATCAATGATTCTCTCTCATCATTGATGTTTCTATCTCTCTTTCCCTCTCCCTTCCTCTCTGAAATCAATAAAAATATATTTTTTTAAAAAACTTATTGACTGGATTTGGAACCAGAGTGTGGGAAGAAATCCAAGGAGATGCTAAGGTTCTCAGTGTCTGGTTACATACAGAGAATAGATAAAGAGCTTTCTCATATATTTACCTTCCCCAGAAAAAAAAACATGCCCAGAGTCACATACTAATAAAAGAAAGAACCCTATGATTTGGGGATAACATGCTTTGTTCTTGTACTGAAGTGTGTTGAATGAGACTGTTTTGTGGTTCATGTTACTAACCTGCACGTGTCTCCTTGGCCAGGACTCCCCTCTGCACAAAGCCCTCTTTTGGGTAGCTGTGGCCGTGCTGCAGCTCGATGAGGTCAACTTGTATTCAGCAGGCACCGCACTTCTTGAACAAAACCTGCACACCTTAGACAGTCTCCGGATATTCAATGACAAGGTAAGGAAGCCTTCTATTGGGATTCCTAGATTATGCACATTTAGAACTCCTTCGTTCATCATTATTATTATCCTTTTAAAATCAGAAGAGGTCCCTAACTTAAAAATGAATTTCTATAATGTAACTTATTGCGAGAACAGTTCCTTACCAACTCATTAAAAATAGTTAAACTTCACTGCATACTTTCTGAATAAAAATAGTAGAAAACAGTACTCGCTCAACACTAGTAAACAGAATAGGGATAAATAATACTTAGTAGTAATAATAGCTACCATGTCAGGCTAATTTTTATAACCCTAAGGTAAAGGTTAGCATTCTCCATCCCCCATTTCACGTGTAATTGAAATTTGCTGAGAGAGTAAAAGTTGAATGTTCTCACCAAAAAGGGAGGGGCGGGTGAATATGTGAGATGATGCATATGTTCAGTGCTGCTCTAAACACCTCACTACATATATTTTATATACTCATGCTTTTGTTTCTTTGAGATCAAAATCTAGACAGACCTGAACATGACTCTAAACACTTCAGTTGTTTGCTTTCAAAAATCTTTATGCATAAAGAAACCACTGGGGATCTTTTTAATTTTTTTTAATATATTTTTATTGGTTACAGAGAGCCAGAGAGATAGAAACATCAGTGCATTGATTGGCTGCCTCCTGCATGCCCCTTATTGGGGATTGAGCCTGCAACCTGGGCATGTGCCCTGACCAGGAATCAAACCATGACCTTCTGGTTCATAGGTCAATGCTCAACCACTAAGCCACGCCATCCAGGCTTATTGGGGTTCTTTAAAAAAAAAAAATTAAAAAGGCAAATTCCTGGGGTTTAACCACTTCCCATGATTCAGAGGTGGGATCCAGTACCTTCCACCTTTAAACAAGCATCCTCAGTGACTTTAAAGTGAACCACACTTTAGGAAACACTATTACCCTGGGCACATTGCATACTGTTTTAGAGTTTCAGTTTCCTCATTTTCCCCCCTAGAATGTAAAGTCCACCAGGGTGAGTCGTTTTTGTCTGTTTAGTTACCTGCAGAACCTAGAACTCTGCCTGGCACATCAAAACCACACAGTACGTTTTTGATAAGTAAAAGAATGAATAAATGCATAAATCTGTAAAAGGGAGCTAATAACCTTACTGCATAGGATTGCTTTAAGGTTTCAACATAATTGTAATAATGCTTCTGGCATTGTATATTGTAGGCAGTGAGTGAACTCTCATCTTTGTCATGAATTTTCTGTCACCATGGTACACAGAATGCCAGATACACAAAAAGCCCATACAATGGTAATCTTATTTAAAGCAACAAAAATTATAGTTTTTAAAAAGTCACAAAGATGTAAACTGACAGTCATTTAGTTTGCATTTCATCTTTCATCATCTTATTATTTATATGATTGCCTTTCTTGCACTAATTAATTTATAGTACCTTAATGTTCTGTGGTTTTCAGTAGTCTTAAAAATGATTTCTTTCAGCTTGAAAGGACTGTTTATCTTGTTATAGCTGTTGAACCAGTAAGTGGTCCTTTAAGGAAAGTTCCTGTGTGAATCCATCAACCATCTCACTATTATCTTTAATAGAGTCCGGAGGAAGTATTTATGGCAATCCGGAATCCTCTGGAATGGCACTGCAAACAAATGGATCATTTTGTTGGACTCAATTTCAACTCTAATTTTAACTTCGCACTGGTTGGACACCTTTTAAAAGGTAGAGGGGCTTGTGTCAGAATATTTATGAAATGGTATCAAGAATTCAAAAGTACTTAAAATAATTGATTGCTTGAAATAATTTGGCTCATGTGTCTTATTATAAATGCAAATTTTATCTGCTTTATTGAATTATGTTCTATTTAATATATGTTTTTAATGGAGCCTAATTTCCCATCCAATACCAGATTTCTTTAATAAAGCAAAAGTTGATTTTTATAAAATTCTTAAGTACTAAACCTTCTAATATCTGTATTATTAGTTAACACTACTTATATATCTTTTTGATTATCAAAATAAGACAGACTGCAAATAAATAACATTTTCTAACATGTTATTAAAATAACATCTTAGTGATTTGGTCACAGATTTTCTTTAACTTGTTTCTTATTTATTGTTGATCAGCCCCATTATTATATCACCTTTTTGGTACTCTACCTTCACCCCTCCAAATGTCTAGATTGCTATAGCAGTGATCAGCCATCCCTCCCTAATTTGGCTTGACTGCCCACTGCTGACTTCACTGCATGTTAGCGTTGGTTAATTAACACGGGACAGTCATGGCCAGAGATGGCAGTTAACAGGGACATCATATAATGGTGAGTCAGAGGCAAAGTCAGTGAAAAGGAAGAACTGGAATGAAGAGTTGGCATGAACCAGTGATTTTAAGCAGTTTTGGATTTGGCCACAATAGAGACTCATGGTAGAGCTTGAGTCTCTCCTATATAATAAAAACCTAATATGCTAAGTGGCCAGTCACTCATTTGGCCATTCAACCAATCAAAGTGTAATATGCTAAGGATATGCTAAGGCCACTCAACCACTTTCTATGATGTGCACTGACTACCAGGGGGTTTGCACTGACCATCAGGGGGCAGATTCTCAATGCAGAAGCTGCCCCCTGGTGGTCAGTGCGCTCCCACAGGGGAAGCACTGCTCAGCCAGAAGCCCTGAGCCAGGCTCACGGCTGGTGAGCACAGCGGTGGGGTGGTGGCAGGAGCCTCTCCTGTCTCCACAGCCGCACTAAGGATGTCCAACTGACGGCTTAGGCCTGCTCCCTGCAGGCCTAATCCATCAGTCAGACATCCCCCAAGGGCTCCCGGACTGAGAGAGGGCACAGGCCAGGCTTAGGGACCCCCTCCCATGGACACCCCCCCCCAAGTGCATGAATTTCATGCACCGGGCCTCTATTCTAGTAGTTTTATATCAACTTAAATGATTTTAAGCTTGAGGGAGGGATCATGGAGGTAGTTTTTACCTAATATAACACATATACCCACAACTTTGAATGTGCATACAGGGTGAGGCAAAAGTAGGTTTACAATTGTGAATATGAAAACAGAGTTTATTCCTATATTATTATTTATTGATTATGGTATTATCCATGTGAACAACTGGAACTTACTTTAACCTACTTTTAAACCTACTTTTGCCCCACCCCATATTTGATTTCACCACTGCAAAAAATATTGACAGTTTTAATCTCTAAGGTGAATAAGGAGTACTCAAAAAATACTGCACTTACTACAGGATTCCAAGAAGAGGGATTGCAGTGGGGCTGATAGAGTGCTTGCTTATTCTGTACTTCTAAAAGATTATCAGATATTTTAAGTGCACAAGCTCCTATTTTAAAATGTAGTAGCATTAGTGATTTAAACACTGTCTGAAAATTAAGCTTACCCTTTAATCAACCCTATTCTTTAGGCTTTGAAAGCATATACTTCATTTGTCATTTAGGCTTTTTCTTTAAGTTAAAAAAGTATTTTTAGGGGAGCAGAGGTGGAGTGGGAGAGGGTATAGGGGGGATAAATGATGATGGAAAAAATCAGAATTTTTAAGCAATAGAAACGTATTTTCATGATATATCTTAAAGTGAGTTTCATGGGATTTTTAAAAATCTCTGCTGCTTTAGGGAATGGAAGATCTAAAACACAATCATCTTTCCTGGTTTCCTCTCCCTGAGGTACCTTAGAGCAGCAGTCGCCAACCTTTCGGATCTCATGGACCACCGGTTGGCGACCACTGCCTTAGAGTTCTAAGAAACATTCTGTTCTACACAACTTGGTATTTAACCCTATGTATAATTAATTTCTCACAAATGTTTGTTTTATTTCCAAATGGCCTTCTTTCCTTTCAGAGTTGCTAGTCACAGAATAAGCACTCAGCAGATACCTGTTGGAAGAATAAACTACCTCTTCTGTTTTTATTTTTTGTAGGGTACAGACATCCTTCACCTGCCATTGTTGCAAGAACAGTCAGAATTTTGCATACGCTACTAACTTTGGTTAACAAACATAGGAATTGTGACAAATTTGAGGTGAATACACAGAGCGTGGCTTACTTAGCAGGTAAAAAACACAAAATAGACAAAATTAATCTTACCACATCTGTATCTAAGGACCTTCAAAAAGATGCAGACACCTGTGGGTCAGTCCTTCAGCCGGTTGTTTGGCAGGGTGAAGCGTTCACAGTTCCATTCCATGGTGGTGGTTAAATTGAAAGTTTTGCCAAAAATATTTTTTTCTTATAAAAGAATTTGCATTAAAATATGAAGTGTGTTCCTTTTGTTATCTTTGTTTCAAGATATCATGTGGCTCCCTATTGTCTGTCATAAAATCAGAACTCTTTGGCCCAGCAGCCTGGGCCCTTGAGCAGCCTGCTGATTCTGTCCTCCTTTCTCTAAATTTTATAGGCCTCATTTTTTCATTACCTCTCCAGATGGATGGCCTATTTTAAGGAAATATATTTGCCATCTCCTAAAAGTGCCTTTCTGCCTCTTTAATATTCAATCCTGATGCCATTTGTTTTACCTAAAATGTCTGCCCATCCCCACCATTCCATTACCTTATTTGCTCTTACCTGATTTCTCTACTCAGCAATACTTAACACTTATGTATAGTCATTTGATGGAAAGTGATGGTTCCCAGTTTAGCAGACTTCAGTTTGTGGCAACTTTTGTTTGAATCATTTACATCTCAGAGAAATGGACCTCATACTACCTGCTCTGTCTACTTTTTATGTTTGTTGAGCTCAAAGGTTCATTAGAGGACTTCAAATATAAGATGCTTATTAAGTTTCTTAGTTTATTTCATGTTTATGTACAGGCTTCCAAAAACGGGCTGTTAAGTCTATCCTCAGTGTTTTGTATCCTTAAACCCTGTACTCCCTAGGGCTACTGATCAATAACAGCTGTTATTCTTATCAGGAGGTTATAAGAAGTATGTCCTGTTTTAAGTCAGCTGCTGATTTGTTAAATTTTCTAATCTGCCTTCTTTTTCCTCGTAGCTTTACTCACAGTGTCTGAGGAAGTTCGAAGTCGCTGTAGTCTAAAACATAGAAAGTCTCTTCTTCTTACTGATATTTCAATGGAAAATGTTCCTATGGATACATATCCTATTCATCACAGTGACCCTAGCTATAGGTAAATGGACTTCTTCTGCCACAATTACATAATTATACTCAGGTTTTAATTTAATTTGCTAATGGAGGCATGCAGCAGAAAAATCCAGGAGGGAATATAGAGATAATCTAGGAAGAATTTGTAAATTAAAACTTGTTTTTATAAATGTACAGTGTATTTTATGTGGGTTAGTGAAGAATTATCCTTCTAATCTCATTGTGCTACTGTTAACATTAGCTTGCTTCTTTTAAGTACAAACCAGTTGAATATGAAAATAAGTGATCTTAAAAAGCATTAGGTTACAGGAAAGGACCTAAGAAAAAAACTGGCATGAAATTTAAGCAACATTACATGGTTAATGAAAAACAACTAAGTTGGTTAATGAAAACAACTTCTTATAAAAGAAATGTACATGCCAACACATTTGTTGTATTATATCACACTAAAGTTATTTAAAAGTTTTTTATAACATAATTTAGATTATCTTATATAATAAAAGCCTAATATGCTAAGTGTCTGGTCGTCCAGTCATCCATTCAACCAATCAAAGTGTAATATGCTAATGATATGCTAAGGCTGCTCAACCGCTCACTATGATGTGCACTGACCACCAGGGGGCAGATGCTCCAACCAGTATGTTAGCTTGCTGCTGGGGTCCGGCCGATCGGGACTGAGCCAGACAGGCTCGACACACCCTGGAGCCCTCCCGCAGTCCCTCCCCAGCTGGCCAATTTCCCACATCCCTCCCCGGCCCGATCGGGCACCTGTGGCATCCGTCAGCCTGGCCTGCGCCCTCTTGCAATCCGAGACCCCCTTGGGGGGTGTCAGAGAGCCAGTTTCAGCCAGATCCCGCAAGCCAGGTCAAGGGACCCCACTGGTGCACAGATTCGTGCACTGGGCCTCTAGTAAGATAATAAGATATGTCCACTACATATGTGTTTTTGAGGTAGTACATTTTTCTCTATAAAAGAGAAATTACATGAAAATATCATTTAGGGATTTTGCTATATTACCAATTAAATGAAAGTATCTAAATTTTAAATAATGTTCAATATAGGAAAGTAATCTTATATTTATAGAGCTTATATCATTCAATTTATCAACATGCCACTTTTTCATTAAAAGCCCCCAATAATTTCCCACTGAAATTTTAACAATGTATGCAAAAGCTTTCGAGCCATACTTGGTTTTCGACAGTCTTATTCTTCAGTCATTCCTATGATTCTATTTCTTTGAGGTATACCCTTTTTATTTTGGAAAGGAGAAAGTGAGTTTGTGTGTATTCCCCTGTCAAAGTATAAATTAGGTTGATTTTCTTGATCTTTGAACTAAGAATACAATTGCCTATTTAGACTTGATTTTCCCTGATTTAAAAATCAATGTAGCACAATTTTATTGAGCATTCTGTGATCTATGTATAAGATACCATGCCAAGAAAGTGGATTCTTTCTGAAGATACATTAAGAGTTTGTACTCAAAAGCCTTTTAATTCACAAGTTTAAAATTAATTGATTACTATCATAGGACAGCCAGGTGGAAGGGGCAACCAATGGTTATATTCTTCACCATGCTGATTAATTCTTCTCAATCATTTAAATCTCTCAGGACTCTGAAGGAGAATCAACCATGGTCCTCTCCCAAAGGTTCTGAAGGGTACCTTGCAGCCACATATCCAACAGTGGGCCAGACCAGTCCCCGGGCCAGGAAATCCATGAGCTTGGACATGGGGCAGCCTTCTCAGGCCAACACGAAGAAGTTACTTGGTTTGTGTCTCTAAATTATCTAAGATCTCTTGGAATTATTTTTTTTAATGCTCAGATACTTTCACTCTTAGAAAATTATTTGAAGCTGTTCAAGTTTATCAAAATTTCCTGTTTTTGATGTAGCAAAGTTTTTGATGACAGTTACAAGAGCGTTTGATGGATCAATTAAGCCATATCAGTTATGAGGAATGAAAATGACACCTTAAAACAGTATTTTTCTGATTCTTAGACTAAATACTGTGGCCGGCCTTGTTTTGTTCTGCTGTGGCCAGGCAGCAGGGAAATGGGAGTGGGAGAGACATTAGCTACTCACTCAGCTGCAGGGCCTTTAACAATACTGTTCCTAATTATCTGAGAGAGAACAGGATACATTAGTATGGTATGAAGCTGTAATAACATTATTTGCCATCTTTTCTTTAAAAAGACAAAACAGTAAGATTTTTTAATACTAGGTTTTTCTATTACTGTAAGATACGATCTTGACAGTTAAGATTGTTCAGTTACATCAACATTTGTCAGTGAGACGTGCACCTGACGTGCCGTGAGACTCTTTCCCTTTTCAGCAGCTGACAGCAGGTAATGAGAGCTCACTGAGTCCACCTCACCACAGAGGAGATGCAAATGGAGCTCTCACACAACATTGTTCCTGAAATACATTGGGATCCATATTTCAGTCACCAACACTGAGGACGGCTAGTGGGTTTCAGTTATCCATGCAAGTATATTTTTAAGTGTCTAGGTATTGGGAAAATTTGTGTTCATAAGGAAATCAGTGAACAAACAATAGTGTGAAATAGCCTGCCAGTAAACCTTGAAAACATGAATATCAATCCTTGTTGCTAGTTACATAGGGCTGTTTCCCTTTGTTTGAGTTCCTTTCTGTTTATACTTTGCCATAAATAATCTTCTAGGAGTTTCCTGGTTACTTTGTGTTTTCTAATTCTGAATTTTCATGCCAAGGAAGTTATAAATGAAAAACTGGTTTCAGAGAAAATGCAGTATTAATTTCATTCAACTCGTGTGCTGGATGAAAAAGTTATGGTCTCTGCTCTGAAGAGCTCATAGTTTGGTGGCCAAGACATATAATCAGCCGATAACAACATCCTAGGTATCACAAAAGTAAAGTCTCGTTGAGGGGAATCTGAGGATCTGAGGAAGTTAGGAAAAGCTGCAGAAAGGAGGTAATGTCTGAACTGAGTATTAAAGATTTAATATATTCTTGCCAGGTAGACATAAGACAAGGACAGAATGCATTCGAGAGAAGGGGAATGAATGGCCTGAATAAAGACAGGTCAGGAAAGGCAGTTGGGTAGCAAATGAGGCTAGAAAAGGATTGGAACTATATTGTGGGGAACTGTAGGCTGTGTTAAGAGACTTAGCCTTACCGTGTATCCAGCAGGGATCTTTAAGTATGGGAGGGGACATCACCAATTTTTGTTTATGATAGTTCTTTGGCTACCATGTGGAGAAATAGGGAGAGATTTTTGGCAAGGGGACCATTTCAGAGATTGATACAGCAATCCAAACAAAACATGGTGTAGGCTGCGCTACGGCAGGCACAGAGGGAGGACGAAGAAGAGGAGTCAGGTTTGGGATAGATTTCCTAAATAGAACAGGCAAGACTTAGTGCAAGTTCCAGATAATCCAACTTCAGTACTTTAAGTAAGAGAAAGCTATTTAACATCAGTGCAATACAGGATTAGAGAATTCAAAGGCCAGTGGGAAATGGTACTATTTGCTTTTTTAAAAATATTTTTCATTTTGTTGATTTCAGAGACAAAGAGAGAGAGAGAGAGAGAAAGAGAAAGAAACATCAATGATGAGAGAGAATCACTGATGAGATGCCTCCTGCACACCCCCCAATGGGATCAAGCCCACAACTCAGGCATGTGCCCTGACCAGGAATCAAACTGTGACCTCCTGGTTCATAGGTTGATGCTCAACCACTGAGCCACTCCTGCTTGGCCTATTAGCTATTTTTGAAGCATCTTGCAATGTATCTATTATTTAGTACTTTCAGGCAGGCAGATCTTTTGTTCAAAGTTTAAAGAATTAAAATCAATCTTTGAACTTGCCTACTTTTGGAAATTCTTATATGTTACTGTCTAATTCTTGGCACCAGCAGAATTTAAATTGTTAAAAGGCTGTGAAGACATATCTTGGCTACTATTAACAGTGTATACCCCATATTTATTTATTATCAAGTATTATACATGTTGGTGGGGATCAGTTTACCTATAGTGTAGTGAATGTAATATCAGTTTAACTTGAACCAATAAGGTACATCCTGCCCTGAAACAGAAAGCTATGAGACCAAAATTCCTTGAGAAGATGGAGAATAAAGGAGAGAAACCACACCCTAGGGATATGTTTGAGCTTTCTTTGGGTCCTTAAGTGAAAACCTAAACACTTTGTGTCCAAACATTTTCTTTTTAATATAATCCTAATCACAGACACTGTGGTTAATGACTTTCCATATTCTGTAACTTTTGTTTATAGGAACAAGGAAAAGTTTTGATCACTTGATATCAGACACAAAGGCTCCTAAAAGGCAAGAAATGGAATCAGGGATCACAACACCCCCCAAAATGAGGAGAGTAGCAGAAACTGATTATGAAATGGGTGAGAAACAAAGTTAATAATTGATCTAGATCATTGAAAATCAGGTGGGAGAGTACATTAAAGCCATATTTGCTTTCCAGCCATTTCTTAGAATCTTTAGGATGAAATATAGAAACATTTGCTCTTTTTCAAAAAATAAGCCATGCAGTTCTTAAAATGACTGTTATCCTAAAACCTCTGTATAGAGTAACCATATATATATATAATCTATAGCATTGTAAATAGCTAGTCAAAACTTTTGTATAGGTGAAGAGTAATTCTGCATGATGTTTATATTTTAAATGTCTACGAAAAAGCTATTGAGTTTTATAAGTAACATTAAAATGTATTAGGTGAAGTGGTGTCTAGTATGTACTATTAATACAGCTGATCATGTTACTCCGTATGTTACTGCAGAAACTCAGAGGATTTCCTCATCACAACAGCACCCACATTTACGTAAAGTCTCAGTGTCAGAATCAAATGTTCTCTTGGATGAGGAAGTACTTACTGATCCAAAGATCCAAGCACTTCTTCTTACTGTTCTGGTAAGGTTTTTCTCTTTTTTAGGGTCCCCCCCGCCTCAAGTTTTTCTTCCAGTCTCTTAGAAAGTCCTTAAATATTGAAAACATAAAAGGAAAGCTGTCTTCTGCTTCTCAAAACAGATAGCAATTCAGCCACAAAATATATTTTCTGTTTACTTTTTTTCACGTTGGCAGGCTACACTGGTAAAATATACCACGGATGAGTTTGATCAACGAATTCTTTATGAATACTTAGCAGAAGCCAGTGTTGTTTTCCCCAAAGTTTTTCCTGTTGTGTAAGTATTCCTTTTGTGTTTAATTTTTGTGTCTGTCTTGAAGTTAAATGTTTTACAAAAATTTAGGCAAAGTGCCACCCAGTAATGTTCACTGGTTGTGGAGAAGAGAAGGTAAGATAATGTGACTGGTTTTAGCTTAGATGGTGGTTTAATAGATGCTAAGACTAGTGTGATTATAACACACTTTAGGAAAAGCATTTTCTTATCTGGTTGATTTTCTTAAGTGGTTCATCATGATGAGCATTGTTTATTTCCTCACTTAGGAGCATACCATGAGACTACTATATTTAAATCAGCATATCTGTTTTGGCTTCTTTTTTGGTAGAGCTTTTGTACCTATCCACACTAAATGAAAACAAAATTGACCTCTTTGGGAGATGAGTTTTATGCTCTCCTAAGGGTGACAAGCATATTGGCCTCAAAGAGGTACCAAAGAAACTGGGGGAATTCTATTCCTGATCTAGGCCTTCTATGTAGTATCATTATTTTTGTTAAATATCATTTAAAATTTTCAGAATTTTAAATAGTTGGCTCTTGGTTATTTTAATGGGTGATAGCCTGATTAGAAATAGTTAATTTTCTTGTAAGTTTTGCATTGGATCAGATATTTCAACCCCTCCAAATAATCTTGTTTGCCTTATTTGATCCGATTCAACATTATTAAACACTAGTTAATATTAAATTTACTTTAACTTTCTAGGTACATGTCAACAGTCAGCAGAAATAAATGATTGTAAATTATGCTAATAGTGGCAGACAGAAGCCAACCTTGTCTTGAGCAAACAGTCACCACATACAGATGGTTAAGCATGGTTATATGGACAGTACTAGTTGATTGTACCATATTTTCCCTGATGACTAAAAACAACAGCAACAAAGCAAACACACAGAGTCACTGTAGAAATTTTAGAAAACCACTCCTCCCCCTTCATTTTTATCACATGGTTCTGGGAACTGTGTAATATGTTTTTCAGTACATATTTTCATTTAATTTTTCTTTAAAATGTTCTCCTGTTGACTTTTGTCTTTTAGGCACAATTTGTTGGACTCTAAGATCAACACTCTGTTGTCATTGTGCCAAGATCCAAATTTATTAAATCCAATTCATGGAATTGTGCAGAGTGTGGTGTACCATGAAGAATCCCCACCACAATACCAAACGTCTTACCTGCAAAGTAAATACATGTATCGGGAGGAGGATGGTTGGTGCCCTTGCTAACATGTGCGCTGTTATAAAATGCACTGACTAAAGAATTCTTTAGAAGGGGTAGTCTTGTTTATACTTCTCTCTCCATATGCCATTTTCTGACTCTTGATTTTATGTTCAATAAATAACTGGTTGGACAACTTTTTAAATTAAAGTATGATTTTATACTGAGTATAAGTGAGTTTTAGTCTACTTTGACACATATTTTTCAATGTGGGGTATCTGTTTTCTGTATCATTAACTATGTAACTAATTTCTGTTAAGATTAAAAGTCTCTTGCTTGTTATAAGAGTAACATTTGATTTGTTGCAGGTTTTGGTTTTAATGGTTTGTGGCGGTTTGCAGGACCCTTTTCAAAGGTAAGAAAAAAGTGTTTTTCTCTATTGACAAAACGAAAGATTTTATTCATATTAGTGTGCCTGCTTTAAAAGCACAGAATATGCTGAAAACCAAAATGATGATTCACAATAAACACTTGATTTTTATTAAAGTTTCCACCACAGATTCTTTCTAAGAGGCAGCACCTTTAATATGTTTATATATTAGCTTTTATAGAAAACAACTCAGTTCAATTTATGTTTGATTTTTCAGAAGGGTGTGATAAATCTCTGTAAAGTTTCTGCTCTCAGTCCCTCATGTATCTGCTGATGCTAATGCACACACTTAAGTATCTTGTAATTAGGAAGGAGCATTGTCTATGGTTTAAATCTACCTCATGACCTGAAACTAATGTTATAACTCAATTAAACCTCAATTTTTAAAAAATTACATAATGGAAAAAAATCTACCTCATGTAAACCTCTTGGGTTAGATTTATTCTTCCCTGAATATATCCTTATTTACTCCTATTCAGTTTGTTCTTTGATTGGCATTAGTTGGTACAGTGCTACGTGAATGTGTATTTAATTATTTTCTCTAGATATGGTCTCTGATATTCCTTGAAGGCAGGATGTCTGTTTCTTCCCCCCATAGTACCTAGTGCAGCATTGCAGATACAGGGCCACTAAATTGTATGGGTTACCTAAAACTTATTGTAAGTTTAAGAATTGGGAAGTTAATTTATATTGGTTAGTTATCACTGAATATCTCATGCTATGTAAAGGCTGTCATTAAAAAAAAAAAAAAAATGGGCCTGAAATCACAGAAATAACTACACCATGCAGGAATTTCTGAAGTTTGATTGCAAGTAACCCTCTGAGCCCTTCACAGTGAATCTCGAAATGGCAGCTGGAATGATCATGCTCTGCCTGTTTTCTCTGTTTTGGAAAATTGACTAGACAGCATTCCTGTAATTGTATTGTCTCAGGATTAATTTGGTCTTTGTCTGTGCATGGCTTTCAGTAATTGCAGGTTCTTCTGGAACCTGAAAGTGTAAGCCAAATAATATTCCCAGTTGTGAGTCTCATGGTAGTCTATAAATATTACTCCACCCCCTTTTTAAATGCTCTGTAATACAAAGGAAGAAAAAAATAGTAAATTGAAGCCTAAAATGAAAATTGAATTAATCATTTTTGGCTTCTAAGGAGATGAAAAAAGAATGGAGCTAAAGTAATTTCCTATTTTCCATTACAGCAAACACAAATCCCAGACTATGCTGAGCTTATTGTTAAATTTCTTGATGCCTTGATTGACACGTATTTGCCTGGAATTGATGAAGAAACCAGTGAGGAGTCCCTCCTGACACCCACATCTCCTTATCCTCCTGCAGTGCAGAGCCAGCTTAGTATCACTGCTAACCTTAACCTTTCTAATTCCATGACCTCACTTGCAACTTCCCAGCATTCCCCAGGTCAGTAAATGTCATCTTTTTATAAATCTGAACAATACTATTAATATACCAACATTAGGAATTCCCTTGTTACCAGTTTCAGCAGTTTTTGCTCCTTTTTTATCATGAGGTTCATTTTACATTTCTTCTTTACTTTGTAGCTGATTGGAATTTGTTATTCTATAAAGCTTTCTACTTTTAAACATTTATATATTAGATAGTGAAATATTTAATATTCACAGTGTTCCAAGGTTGTAAGTTAAGCGTTTGGGCAGGAAGAGCAACCTAAAGCACATTCCCCATAAGTGGACAGAATTACAGTCCCCTTACCAGATGCACTACCTTGCCCCAAGGGCTTCTGTGTCTCTGACAGAGCAGACTATATCCAGAAACACAAGGTAGAACCCCACTTCCCTGCAGCCAGCAGCCACCTAACAATCTAGAAACCAGCCTGAAAAGGTAGCGTAAGTACACAACCAGACAGAAAGGCCATCTCAAGGCAGTAACATCTTAAAGCTCCTAAGCAGACTCCTTACTGTGGAGTCAGTCACTCTTAGGTCCAGGTGGGAAAAGCATGCAATTCAACATGCGACTAAGGGGATGCACTGAGAAATGAGAGCTAATAGCTCAGTGGGCTGAGATGGACAAGATGGCAGACGTGGCAGACCTGCAGAATTATGGGCTCGCTGGGCGTCAGAGTGAATGGTCTCATACAACTCATGACCCTGGGGGTGGTCCTGGCTATAGAACTGATGCCGTTGTGTGTTGTGATGACAGTGGGCAACGAAGGAGAGATCCTTCATGGCCACATTTCCTACTCAGAAAGATACCTTTCTAAATGTGTGTTTTTTTAAGGTTTTGTGTTTAAAGTTCCATTATTGGAAAAGTTACTATACATAGTACTTTTAAGTGGTAGCATGGATTTTCTTTTAAAAAGCCAAATGATGTATTATAACTATTTTGTGATGTTCAAGATCCGTAAATAGAATCCCTGGGTTATAATCCCAGTTTTGCATAAACATTTAAGCATCTGTACCTTGGCAGATACCCAATTCATATTATAAACCATTATATTAAATAACTATATTTATTAAGCTTTCGTTAGCAAAAGAAAGAAAGTATTTGATCCAGCATTTATTTCTCACTCACCTTACTGTGCCTTACCAGGTTCTATACCAACCCCTGCAGTTCTCGGCAAGAAATAAGAAAAACCTGGCCAACTCCTCCCCCTCCCCACAATATAACCCTGTTCATTTGCCCTCTGTCACTTATTCCCTTGGATAGTGTGTCTCCGAGTGTGGTCCTAGACCAGTAGGGTCAGCATCTCTTGGGAGCTTGTTAGAAATGCAAATGCTAGCATCCCACCCCAGACCTCCTGCACAAAGAGCCCCAGGGTGGGCCCTTCCAGCAATCTGGTCTAATAAACAACCCAGGTGATTCTCGTGCTCAGGGACTTTGAAAAGCACTGCCCTAGGATCTGCCAATGTTCTTGCCTCATAATTGGCATTTCAACTGCTAAAGCAAGGGCAACAGCTAAACTGTACTTTCTTCTGGATATTGCGGCCTCTGAATTCTTTCCCTCACCATTGTCCCCACCCTTTAAAATCTTAGCATTTTGGAGCTGGGAGCACTGTAGGGTTACTTAGTTCTAGGCTCACAGCGCTGTGTGCAATAGGGAGATTGAGGTTTAGAAGAGCTAAGCTCATTGCTCTATCATACAGTTCTTATCTAGAACCCTGTCCAGTGTTCTTTCTAACACATTCATTACTTTATAAAGCTATGATGTGTCTGTCATCTTCTTCCTGCCTTCCTGTCCCTTGTTCTTTCATTTGTTCGTTTGTTTATTGCCGCCTCATTACTTCCATCTGCCTTACCTCAAGTCCAGCACTCCTTTTCTTCTGTAAGGCTCTCTGTTTTCTGGGTTATTTGTTGCTTATAATATTGATCCCAGTGAGAAAATTAATATTGGTTCTCTTGTTTTTAAAGTTAGATTCATTTTGAGCAAACTTTTGCCTCTTTGGCTACTAGTAAAGTGATGTTAAACCTGTCAAAATGATTGTTGGGTTTTTATTTAATTTTTATTTTAGTACCCAGATTAATTGGTAGGGGATTTCTACTGGAGACAGTAAAATAATCAGGCTTAAAATAAAGGTGACTAGTACAATTTCCCCTGCTGGTTGATTAATCGCTTATGTTCTTGTTGGACATTCTGTTTAGTTGGACATTATCTATATCATTTGCCTTTTTAAAAAAAATAGTCCTATTCTGTAACCTCTTAGAATTGTTTATAAAAATCAGAGAATAGCTGTATGGTTTTGGTTGCAGTTTTAAACCAGTGGTGTCACCTCCAGTGCTTCTTCAGAGACGGTGCTCAAATAGACTACTACCCCCTAGAAACCTCTGGCTGTTTTCAAAAGACACTGAAGCTTTAAAAGTAATAGAATTAACTAAGTAGAATCACTGTATTCAGCATTTACGGTCTCTAAATTGTAAATTGTGTGTCCTTTAGTTTGCCAGATTATTTCACTACATGTTTTTGGAGAAAAGGTTTATCTTTTCAATCATGACTTTATTCTCCCATGAAACCCATTTTTATCTCTAAATTGTGGGTTCATCATCTCCATGAAGGATTTTGATTCACCTCTGTACCCAGTTATTGTATTTTTGTTATTTGCTCTCCTGGGATACTCTTAACAGGAGTTAATACTTTGTATGTAATTAGGTATACTGCTTTATGTCTTTAGCTCCATGTAATCATATCCTTGTCTCCTCAATTTATGGAGCTGAGTTGCTGGTCTCAGTGGGCTGAAAGAAGTGATGAATCTTAGCCAGATTCCAGGCTCAGTCTAGCATTTCAACTTGGCTATTTAGCTGTACAGAAAGCAGATTTCCCTATCTCCATTCCCATCAGCCAGGTCCCATCAGAAATGTTTAAAGAAGCTCTGTGTAGTTTATTATCAAATTACCCAACATCAATCTGTGCCCAGTCAACTGAGCTGTAAGCAGGTGAATGCTCTGTTGTCCTGTGTGAAAAAGCAAAATTTGCTGCTCTGCACAGCTCAGCCCTTTGCCATAGACCTTCCATGTCAATGCAGGATTCTAACTCTGTGGTGCTTAGCAGGCTCTGACACTGAACTGTATTTTCTTGTAGTTTCCAGCATTCTTTGCTGAAATCAGCTAGGTAAGAAATTTATGAACTTCTTCCTCCCAAGCATTTAACCTTACTTAAATAAAAATGTGGCTGGTAATTCATCAGTCACCAGCTTTTGAGGAAGTGGTGGTTACTTAAAATAAAGCATTTGACTCTGAAAATGCATTCTTCTTGAGAGATTATCATAGCCCACTTGTCTGTCCCCTTAGCACAGGACTGTTTTATAAATCCACATTTAAAATGCATAACTGTCTTCTGATTCCCTCCCTCGTAGAAACTGAACTTGGCATTCGTGGAGCCAATGGACTGTATTCAGAGTCAGTGCATATAAATTTGTGTTAACTGGACATAAATAGACAGTTTAGCCAAATGGACATAAAACTTTCCCTCTTCAGATTTTCCCAAGTGCCACTAAAATAGTCCTCAAGAGAACCCATAGCATTTATTCTGTGATATATAAGAATATTTCAAATTTGACATTGTGATCCATTATTAGGTACACTGTAGCGAGCTAGATGTGAATTGAAGAACCAGGATTAAAACTAGAAAATAAACCCTATTTACCTAAAAATGCTATTATGCTAAATATTAACTTTCTTTTTGTTAATTTGGGACTTTCTTTTTGCATAAGGCCAAGCCATGAATGGTTCTAGATAATGAGCAGTGAAGCCTTTTTTTAGAGCCTTATTTTGAGTACTCTACGCCCATTTCAAGTGCAGTCTCCCTGCATCCTCTTTAGGTATTACACAGGAAGTGTACCAGAAATAAAAACTGAGATGGAGCTATATGGACTTAAAAAGAAATCAAATAGACCCATTTCTAATGTGAAATTTAATTTATATTCTACCAAGACCTCCTTCTATTTTTCACACTGTAATTTAATTCAGTAAACATTTGAACACCTATTTTGTAGGTGTATACCTGGGACATTTAAAAATGAAGGAGACCCTGGTCACCAAAGACTTAACAGCTTTTCCCCATAGATCTCAGTACCGGGTTTGGAGCTAAAGTTATTTTCTTCTGACCACAAATTCTACATGTACATATTTTTTTTTATTTTAAGTACAAGAGTAAGCCTAGATAACCAAAAGTCCACAGGCATTTATTCTACAGATATTCATTGTTTACTACATACAAGGGACTCTGTTAGACCCCAGGGAGTGGGGGAGCTGGTAGAACATGATACCTGCCCTCAAGTAGATTTTAGAAGAGTAAGAGTGGCCAAGTGTACACAGCTAACTATTTTACTTGCTTTGTGGTATTCATCATGTTGTACCTTTACCATAAAGTATGCTGATAGTTCAAAGGAGTATTTTTTTAAGAATAATCGGGTAATGATTATGGCAAAAGTTTTATATTTTTTACTCCCAAAAAGTGTGAGGTATGTATTATACTTTTTTAAAAAAGAAGTCTGTGCTCTATTTTAAATGTTTCTATTGATTTTTAGAGAGTAGGAAAGAGAGGAAAGACAGAGAGAAATATCGATGTGAGAGAAACACATCGATTAGTTGCCTCCTGCATGAACCCTGACCAGGGCCCAGGCCAGGGAGAAGCCTGCAGCTGTGGTACGTGCCCTTGACTGGAATCGAACCTGGGACCCTTTGGTCCGCACGCTCTACATCCACAGAGCCAAACCAGCTAGGGCTATTTTATTTTGTTCTTTTCTTTTTTTAATATTTCAAGAAAAACTATTTTAAATATAATAATGTTACATGCAATGAGCATTAATAATTCAAGAAAACTTATTTTAAGTATAATGTTACATGCAATGAACATTAATATTTCAAGGAAAATTATTTTAAATATAATGTTACATGCAATAAACCTTAATATATCAAGAAAAATGGTTTTAAGTATAATATTACATGCA